CCCTCTGAGGGTGATGGAGCCCTGGAACAGGCTGCTCAGGGAGGTTGTGGAGCCTCCATCTCTGGAGATATTCAAGACCCGCCTGGACAAGGTCCTGTGCAGCCTGCTGTAGGTGACCCTGCTTCGGCGGGGAGGTTGGACCAGATGACCCACAGAGGTCCCTTCCAACCCCAAAACATTCTGTGATTCTTTGTTTTTCCATGAACAGGAGTGCAGCAGGGCAGCCATAGGAGGAGGCCTGCCCCGAAGGTGAGCCCCAGCTGGGGGCGTGCTGCCTCGGCAGCCCAACGCCTCCAAATGCCAGAGGTCTCAGCTTCGGTCTCAGCTTCGGTAGCTTCTGAAGAGCAGAAGCAGTGGCTGCTTCAAAGCCCCCTGACAGAAAGGAGGAGTTAGAGGGGCTTCACTGGAGCAGAGGGGGAGGTGGATGGAGGAGGAAGGAGGGAGGAAGTCAGTTTGTGCCCCATCGCACAGCTCAGCTGCTGCTTTTTCAGCAGTTTCTTTGTAGGTGACCCTACTGATTTCAGGACTATTTTATTGCTAAAAAGGCTAAATAAGGAGCGCAGTAAGCTCCCTACTTTGCCTGTTATTGTTAGAATAGACCGTTCTGTCTGTACTCTCATTTGTAACTGGTATGACTTGGAAAAACTGCAGGCTAAGTCATATATGGAGGGAAAAATGAAGAAATGAGAGAAAAATTGTTCTCCCTGCCATAGTAGTTTTAACATCCTGACAGGTTTTTAATTGTATGGCATAAAGCAGTTGTGCAACTAAATGCAAAACACCCTAGTGTAGCCTCTTACCTTTCATCCTTATCCCAAAGTAGAATGTAATTTAAATTAAATTAAATATTTAAATAACTGGCTCTAAATCACTTTTTAATCTAGTTTAAAAAATGGTGCTATTATACCAGAAAACGGAACTTTAAAATAAATTTACAAATGTTCTTTTCCAAATGCCACAACCATTGTGCTATTTGATAATTTTGTGGTGCCGTTAGTGACTAAGAACTGAAATACTGAAAAATAGGTCCCTGCTCATGCAGGCTCTAAAAGAGGATGGGGACCCTGCAAGCACATGCAGAGTTCTTGTTACAGCCATTCCTCATGTTGGTGAAGCCAAGAGTGCTTAAATCTTAGCAGCATTACCAGTATCTTAGCAGCAGTGTTTCTTATGTCTAATAAGAAAAAAACTATGATACTTCAAATTAAAATGTTAAAAATTAGTGGCTTTAGACATGGTTACCTGACAAAGTTACTGTTCATAATTTTAATTTGATCTGTTAAGGCAGAGAGACTATTCAACTAGTATTTAGTCCCTTTATGATGAAACTGAAAAATATCTGTAGGAATGAGGAACATGAGGACCCTTGAAAGTTCAAAGCTATAAGTCAAGGAGGGAAGTCTGTCCAACTGCATGACTAGAACCAGCTTTCTTGGCTTGTGTGAGTTCACCTTAGTGAAGAAGCTGTCGGTTGCATTTGAGCCTCAGAAGTTTGCTTACCAGTTTTTAGTCTGAAGTACCGTTGTCCTCATGGTGGACTCAGCTAATTTCTTTCCTATGTAATGAGAATTTGAAGACTGAAAACTGTTATTCGTAAAAAGGGGAATTAAAATTTAGAACCCTAATCAACAAATGCATAGCTTCACCTTCAGCACGCTATGGCTGTGCAGAGGTAAATATTAGGAATAATGGATAAAATTCACATATGGATATTTTAAGGAAAAAGAAAAGAGGCAGCAAACTTTTTAAAAATTTATGGTCACTATGAGGTCTGCAAAGCTTTCAGGTATGAAAAGTGAACTGAGAACAGTTTTTACACACATATATATTTCTACGTGTATGTATGTGTTTGGCTGGAGATTTCAAATCAGTACAAGTGTAACGTGAAATTTTATCTGTGTTAATAAATAAATAAATATTCCTGTCTAGGTGAGTCTGCGTTCAGTATCATCCCTGGAACTTAATGTTATCTCAAAAACCGTGTGCCAAATGCATACCTGGCACAAGCTCATACGGTATATGAAAGTAAACGAAGCCCCATCTGTTTGCCTGGCTGGTGAACAGGGCAGAGTACAACTGAGCCGCAAGTCTTGCAGTCATTTCATTCTGAGTTAATGGAGCAACAGAGCTGAGATGTAGTGACTATTGCTTTTGATCTCCATGGAACATTAGGAACAGTTGAAATAAACATAGATAGATACAGACTGTCTTCTTTAACCATGCTTTCCCTGCCTCTAGAAAATGAAGCCAGTATCCTTCTTGTTAGAGATAATCAAACCAAATTAAACCAATTATATTGAGCAGACTTCAAGTAAGTCTAAACTGAACTTCTTTTAGACTTGCAGAAATCATGTTGAATTATCAGTGAATTTTCCTCCACTGGGTCTCACTCCATTTCTGGATTCCTGCCAGCACCTTCTACAGCAGGCACAACCCATTAGGGGGAGAAGTGGATGAAAGGGTAAGGCTGCCCACAAGGTATCTGCAGACTGGCTGGAAGCAGTTAGAGCAGCAAGACTCTGAGATTTCTAGTCTGACTTCTGGGACTCGAGAAACATCATCTCTTCATGCTACAAGTACTTGTGAAATGGAACTTGGATCCCATTTTTCTGGTAATTTACGTAGAATTGATGCCAGAAAAAGGTTATTTCTAGTTAAAAAAAAAAACACAAACAATCAAAAAACCAAACCCACAATCTATTGCCATTTGCTATTTATAGCATTTTCTGTTCACTGAGATGGGAGTTTGCTGACGCTGTGTGTTTTCAGGTTCTCTGGATCACTTTTTATCTCAGCTTCTGTTTCACATGGGGCTCCAGCATGAAATTCAGAATGACGGTAAAAAAACTCATGGAAAAATATTGTCCAGACTACTGATTTCTTTCCATAAAAATTTCTAAATCTCTTAAGTTATGATTACCTGGGGAGCACTCAGAAATGAGCAGAGAAGAATTGTGCTGGGAAAATGTGTGTGCAAAGGTCGATGATATTTCTTCTGCTTTGTATACAGAGTGGGTAAGGGAAGGATTTTAACTTTTTTCTGGTTTTGTTTTCTGTATTTTCTTTTGTCACACTTTTCAGACCGTTGAAAACTGTGTGTGCATTTTGAGGAACCTCTCATACAGGCTAGCTGCAGAAACATCTCAGGGACAGCAGATGGGAACAGATGAACTTGATGGATTACTCTGTGGTGATGCCAATGGAAAAGACACAGAGAGTTCGGGGTGCTGGGGAAAGAAGAAGAAGAAAAAGAAATCACAAGATCAGGTAATGAAACTTACCTGAAGCTGCGTTGCGAGTGGTTGAAGTGCCTATCATTTAAAATATAAGTAATTAATACACTGTATTAGAAATAAAGTGCATGATGCATAATACACGGAACTGTTTCCTTTGTTAATTAGCTGAGAGCTTAAAGCAGAGTATGACTCTGGAGTAACAAAAGGAAATGTTTGCTTGAGAAAGTTGCACATGACATGGTGGTACCTGGAAACTTAGTCAGGGGTGGGCTGTGAATGCCATAAATGCTGTAAACTGCTCAGTCTATTAATAAAGGAAGCCAATTATAATAAAAAGTGTAAGTCTTAACACTCAGATGTAATCTGCATATACTTTACACTGTACTTCCACACAGCTACATGTGTGTAGAGAGGCCATGATGCAAGCTAACATCAGGCTTATATTTCTGTACTTACTTGCTTCAAAGTTAGTCTTGTACTCTGCCTCCACGTGTTGAGAGAAAACTGTACAGGACTGAATCAAGCAAGATGAGTGAATGTTTAAAAAGCATGCATATTTTGATACATCTGATGTTATTACCAAGCAAAGATTGAGAAGTACAGTCTTGATAGTTTCCTCAAGTTATTTGAGGTGCTGAGGATTTTGCTTTAGGTGGCAAAGTGTATTTATCTCCTTGTTTTCCCATTAACAACTTAAAATTTGGGGAATGCTGACAATGATATTACTGAGAAAGACATTGTATCAGTACATACACTAAATAGCAATGAGAATGGCTACTGATTTATGAACTTTTTCAAATGACCTGTTCTGGCAGCGGGTAGTTCTCCGTCTTTTCCTAGACTTAGTCTTTTCCACTGCCATTTATTTCTGTTTCACATTGTTCAAAGAAAAAACCCGAGTAAGCCGTTAGGCACACAGGCTATGTGAATAAATTATGTAAACCAGTACTGAAAATATTTCTGAGTTCATAAAGACAAATTGTTTTATGTGGGAAAGTTACAGGAACATTAACAAGCTTAGATTCAGGTACTGAAAAATGCACTCATGACTAGTAAGACTTTAATTTCACCTACTCTTCTAGTTAAATATTGCGGTCATAAGGTAACTTGAATTTATTATGGCCTCTGGTTGGGATTTCTGTATTCAGCTACAGTGAGATGAAGAGTGCCAAAGCAAACTACTTTTACCCCCTAAAGCAGTGATCATCCCTGTTCCTGAATTAACAGTTCCCACACACTACACTTACGGTTATTCAAAGTGCAGGAACAAAAATAGCATGTCTGGATATGAACAGGTCATACTGCAACTCGCCTTTCTCCTTTGATGTTCTGTTTACCAACACACGCATGCACACACACAATATATAAAGTCTTTTTAAACTCTTCTTTTTGTATTCCTTATGTGATTTCTGGATCTCACGTTCGTTCTTTTAACTCTGTACCACTGACTGTTTCATTGTTCCTGTCAGACTTCTCTGTACTTTAAAGGTTCTCTATAAAAGATCTTTCTCCTCCTCCAGGCCAAAGAACTAATCTCTTTTGGCTCATTTCCTTTACAATGTATGTGCTGCTGCCGGCTCTTGGATAGCTTTTGTCTGTTTTTATGAGCATTCATTATCGGCATGCAGTATGGTAAAGGTCTCTTCAGATTTGCTTGTGTTTGTCTAGCAGAAGGGGTTAATATATTTCTCAAAATCCAAAGAAAAATAAAACTATGCACATACTTTCAGGTTTGTTTTCACTAGGCTTTTCTGTTCCAAGGAAATAAATCTACTCTTTCTAGAACTAATTTTATGGTGCAGAGGACCATTTTGCCTTACAACCATTAAAAATATTTTTCTAATGATTTTTCTTCTTTCATCTCTTTCCGTTTAAATCTGGACAACCTACCCCATCTTGCATTACACCAGTGCTCACCTGTGGCTATTATTCAATTCGTGAGTTTAAGGGAGGGAGCTTTGTGAGCCTTCTGCAGAGCGCGTTATTCTCACTACATAATCCTTGGCTGTTGTTGACCGTAGCAAACATTTTAAAATATGTTATCAAGTTAACTTGAATGCTACTAAAAACAAATGTGTCTGAGGTCTATCGGCAGCATCACCATGCCAGAAACAGCTCTCCCAAGTTACTCTCAGAACAGAAAAACAGAAGAATGCTTTTCATGCAACTGTGCCTTTATATTAATGGCACAGAGCTTGACCCCCAACTCAAACTGGGATAAGGGTGAAGGCAATTTTTTTCATTTATTTTGCAAAAATGAGCCCACAGCTGTATTCAGTTGGCCTCCTTTCTGGGAACCACCCCGTCCAATCATGAAAATAGAAAAGATGTTCTTTCTGCTTCTTTGGCTCTGTCATTGTCTTGAAGTTTTTCAGGACCCCGGTACATTCATTCCTACTGAAAAGTTGGACTAACTGGAAACGCAGATCATTTTCTTCTTCTGGACTGTGTCACAATCAGGAATATTCTGTTTACTGTTTCTGTGTTCGTCAAGAGAAATCACTATTCTTGGGTGTTTTGCTGGGGTGGATTTCTTCCAGTCAAGAATCTCTAGCAACGGGATCATCTTATGTTCCTCAGGTTAGTCAGAGTTCACCCCGTCTCAACTAAGCTTGTCAACACTTTCTGCAGCTTACAGGAGAAAGTTGTCACGTGTCCTTTCATCATGCATTGTCTCCCTGTGTGCTGGCTGCTGCCCTGTGTACTGCACGTGTACATATTCTTTCACAGTAATCTCATCATTTTTCTGCAGGACTTTTACATTTTTCCAGGCAATGCCTTTCATAATCTCCTTTCAGTTGCAGTGCTTAAACTGTTAGCTGCTGCTCATTTTGTCCCTCAGAACAGATCTCGTGCTCTCCTCAGGATGCTATTTTTACAGTGCTCATTCCTTTAAGTGCCTCAGCAGGGAAGCTTTTATGCTCTGAAATATGTTATAATATAGTTCTGAAGATCACGCTCATGATGGACAGTGTTTTACATGTAAATAACTAAAGCATACTTATGGAATCTTCATAAGATTTACAGGTACGATTTACAACATCTGAAACATTGAAACCACTGCACAGCACTGTGGATTTGGAACCTGTGGAAGGAAACCTCAAAGAAACGGAAGACGAGAAAGATATAAAATATCTATACTCAAGTGCCCAGTGAAGAGATGGCATTGACCTTCAGGCTGCTTTTAATAGGTCATTCATGCTAGATAATACAAACCTTGAAGGAAAAGTCCTTCATAAATATAAAAACAAATCTTTCTTTGGGCTCGTTACTATTCTCACTTACAGATACACAAAGTGGAGTTCAGCCCAGTATCAAAACTCCAATCATTTACCTGTGTGATTCCTTTCATACTTGAGAGTTTTGCCTTTCCTGTCAGGCGAAGCACAGGGCACAGACACATCTCTAAGAGTTGTGACACCTCAGTTGAGGGGAGTAGTTTCCAGTTCTGCAGCCTGCTACATTTTATGTCCCCAGAAAATATGTGTTGTGGGTATAGGTATTGTTCTTTTTTTGGCAGTACATGAGGTTCGCATATAATAAAATTAACTGTCTCAGTCTTTTTCAGAAGATAAAGTTTACAAAACAGTGTGGTAAAAAATACTCAGATATTAGTGAATGCAATTGTGATGTTTTGCTTTTACAGTATGCTTCTTCAGTCCTTCGCTTAGTTTCTCAAAGCCATTTATGGGATGGTCTTTAATTTTTGAATAAAACTATTCAACTTATCTAAAAGCTATTAGTAGCAATTGGGCAATAATACCAGATGTCTCATTTTAGACAGTGGATGTGGATGAAGTTGCAGTTTTCTATGCTTGAAAAAAAAAAAATCCCATACGCAGCTATGGAGTTTGTTTCTTAAACCAGAAAACAGGAGGAATCTTCTGTGACATTAAAGCCACTTTCTCATCAGTTTTCTCTGTAAAGAAAGTAGAAGTTAACTTCTTTGTTTTATGACTTAGGAAACAATTATGTCTATTTCTCTAGGTTGTATTTCAGCTGTAGTCGCAGGTAAGTTACTTGATGAGAACAACAGAACTGAGTGGTAATACCAAATGTGGTTTTATTTGACTGGCCTTTCAAGAACAAATTGGAATATACTGTTCATTAATGACATCAGTTGCCTATACCAATGGCAACTTCTCTACATCTTGAAATCAAATAAGAGGTGTTTCTTTGTTCCGCTCATAGTTAAGTCTAATGTCACCTTTCAAATGACTTTAATTAAGGATTTCTCCTAGGATCACAGGAAACAAGCATTGTGCTCATTTCAGAATAAAGGTGGGTGGCGTTGAAAGAGCCCACAGTCCTACCTCCTTAAAGGAGCTCAGACAGGTTCCTGTGCTTTGTCATGCAAGTTTAATGCCGGAAGAGACCCAAACCTTCTAAAGATTTGTGATAAAAGCCAGGTATAGCATTGGTATTTTCTATGGAAAAAAGAAAGTAAAGCTTCTGTAAAGGCTTTGGGAGAAATAAGTGAGACTCACCTGAGTTCATTTCTGTCTCAGACTCCAAGGACTGTAATTAACTGTCGTCACCGTTGTTTGTTATATTCTCTCTGCTGCTTACCTGTGATCAGCTGTTACTGAGCCCTCACCTCACAAGCCTCTCCAGCTGTAGAGGCCTTCATCTCCAACTAGGACGTTATAGACATCGACCTCTCTGCCTTGTATCATGTCACTCTTCAGATGGAAACTAATTTTTCCACCACTGAAAATTTTGTCGCTGCTGTTGGTATGCTCATTGCTGCCAACAGGTTTATTCTTTGAACTGTATGACAAATGAGGATTACGACAAAAAGCAGTTAGAGAAAATAAGATGTATTGTCCAATTTCAGTAAAAGAGCCAGGGAGATGTCATTAATCCTTATTTTATTTCTTGTTATGCAGCCTATTATGTGCACATGTTGCCCTATTTCATTTCTTTTCCTTTCTCTGCTAAGAAGAAACAGGCTGACTTCTTGGCTTCATGCTCCTCTTGAGTTCACCATCTGTGATCATTCTTGTCAACCCAGAATCTAGCCCAAAATCT